TCCGCAGCCATTTGGGCCAAAGCGCGGCTCGGAGAGATGCCCCCTTTTGAAGGTGCTCCCATGCAGCCCGTGCCCAAGCCGAAGGTAGTGTTCCCGCCCGTGCGTGCGACCACGCCTCTGCTCGTGATCAAGCCGAAGGTGGTGCCCCAGCCTCTGCTCGTGATCAAGCTCAGGCCCAAGGCCTCTGCCCGTCCCGCGGCCAAGCCCAAGGCGAAGAAGCGGCCGAAGGTAGCCAAGCCCGAGGCCGAGCCCAAGCCGAAGAAGATGCCGAAGGTCAGACCCGAGGACGCCCCGAGGCCCGAGCCCGAGTCGGTCCACACGGTCCTCAACGCTGTGGCTGAGGCGGAGGGGGACACCAGCAGCGGCACCGCAGGCTCCAGCAGCAGCGGCGCCGCCGCTGCAGCACCAACCCCCTGGGGGCACTTTCTCTAGGCACTTCTTCTCAGGCACTGGAGTGTGCAGGTAAAGTGGCAATCATCATCGCCATCATCGTCAGTTCTATCCTTCAAGGTATCCCCAGAGTACCCCGACATAGCTCACAAAGGGTATCTGCAGCACTGATATCACTGTATATACCCCCAAAGCACCCGAAAGGTATCCAGATATTGGCCCCTGAAGATACCTATGAGTGCATAGACTTACAAATACACATAAAGAGCCCTCTGAAGGTATATATAGATATGATTCGTCTTAAAATGCGGCAACAGTTACACGGGTCGACAGAGGGGAAGGGGGAGGACAGAGGAGGGGAAGAGGGGGGGGGCAGAGGAGGGGGAGGGGGGAGAAGGAGGAAGGAGGAGAGAGACACGGGGGGAACGGGGGGGGGACGGGACTCCTCCCCCTCTTCTGGAGAGGGCAAAGAAAAAGAGGGAGGAGGAGGGAGGGCAGTACAAAGAGACGGGACTCCTCCTCCCTCCCTCCCTCCTCTCCTCCCCCCCTCCTTCTCCTCCTCTCTCCTCCTCCTCCTCCTCCTCCTCCTCCTCCTCCTCCTCCTCCTCCTCCTCCTGGGCAGGGAAAAGGAAGAGACGGCTTTCCCCCTTCCCTCCCCCGCCCTCCACCCCCCCCACCTTCGCGCTCCCCCCGCCCCAGCACCTCCCGCACGGCACGTATTACAAGGCTTACGCCATTCCGCCGACCCTCTGTCCTTAGGCGTTCCTTTCTTTTGTTGCGCGGACGCGCGCGCGCGAGGACGACGTCGACGCCGAGAAGCCGCGCGAGGGCATGACTCTGGACGAGACGCCGATAAGGGGGGAGGGCGCCTATGCCCTCCCCCCGTTCCCCGCCGCCACTAGGACGGCCCCCTGCTGGCGAGCACATACGCAACACACGAACCCACACACGCCCGCTCCGCTCCGCCCCACACGCACGCGCGCGCGCCCCCTCCCCCCCCAGTCCCCCCTCCCCCACCTCCCTCCCTCCCTAGCCTTCTCCTCGTGTATATATACATCTATATATATATATGTATATATATGTGTGTGCGTGTGTGTGTGTGATAACATGTTGTCCTTTTCCAATGGGAGCGCGCGAAACTTTTGAGCGCCCGAAGCGACGCGCGCACTCCGAACCCGAGGCAAAACCGAAACAAAACCGAAACGAAACCGAAACAAAACCGAAACAAAACCGAAACAAAACCGAAACGAAACCGAAACGAAACCGAAACGAAACCGCAACGCGTGCGCTGCGGGACGCAGGAGCGAAAAAAGTTATCAAAAAAACAAAAACGGCGCACGGAAAGTTAACATTTTGACACACAGAAGTTAACATTTTGACAACTAAAAGTTGTCATTTCTGATAACTTTTTTTTCGCGCAGATCGGGCCTATTTCATTGGTTTTGTTAACTTTTTGTTTTTTTATTAACTTTCCGGGAAGTTGATAACTTTTTGAAAAGTTGTTAACTTCCATTGGAAAAGGACAACTTTTTAACTTAACTGATCTATAGGGTGATGTGAGGCATATCACGAGCGGCGAACATTCCCGTGTCCGCGCCCTCGCGGTCCGGATTCCGGGGCCGCGGCCCCGCGGGTGCGCGGATACGCTCCGGAGGCGCTCCGCTCGGGCCACCCGCGGAAGGAGCGCCCCGTAGCCGCGGGGTCGCGGCCCAGGGGCCAGGCCCACAAGTAGGGCGACGAGATCTATGCATACCTACTGCTCCTGGCCAGGCCCATCCTGGGCCCAGGAGCGGTGTATATGCCTCCCTGGCCAAGCCAGGAGGGCGTATACACAGCTCTTGGGCCCAGGATTGGCCTGGCCGGGAGCAGTGGATATGTATAGATGTCGTCGCCCTAACAAGGCCGCCGACACGGATGTGTCTTCCGCTCACGAGCAGAGGGCCCCACGGGGGCAGAGAAGGGAAGTCAGCGAGGCGCGCAGAGAGCGGGGGGGCAGGGAGGCAGCGGCAGGGAGCGGGTATGGCAAGGTAGGCCAGCGGGGGCGCAGCAGCACGTAGTCTCAGCAATGTACGGCGGCGGATGAGCCAGACTTCCATGGAAGCGGAGGGGTATGAGGAGGAAGAGGCGGCACTGTAGGAAAAGGGTGTTCTCTTGTGTCACACCCTCGTTGGCGGGGCGCGCTCCGTGATGCCCCCACACCGTTCAGATCGGTGCTGTTCATTTCTTTGTTGGATGACATTTGCATGCTTCCCCAAAGCCTCGGATGTCCGTCTCCGTCGTCTTTGCACAATGTGTTTGACTGTGGTTGAAGTCTGATTCCCCAGAGTGGTGTCGGGGCGGCTTGGGGGAGCACACTGGGGTCAAGCATGACGGCCTGTCTTGATGTTCTCTGGAGGCTCCCGATGGCGTCTTGGGGCCCTCGTGGACCGTCTTGGGACGCTCTAGGGGCCATCAGGGGCCGCTCGAGACCATCTTGGCTGCATTTTAGGACCGTGTCGGAGCCCTCTTGGGCCATTTGGGATCGTCTTGAGACCTTCCTGAAGCCCTCTTGGGATCTCCGATCGGGGCTTGGGCGTTCATCAGACCGAAGACGTGAAGAGGCGAAGGTAATTCTAGACGCTTCGCGTATCCCCGCCAACAAGTCGCGTCCCCATCCGCTGGGATGATTGCGCCGGTCCCCCACAATGAGGGTCACTTTGTCCCTGGCATGTGCACTCGCCTCAGCGGCCTACGTGCTTCTGCGGCCAATTATCTCGCTCTGTGCCCCAGTCGTGAATCCCGCTCCCTGGACGTCTCCTTGGAGCCGCGAACCAAGAAGTATCCCCGCCAACTTGCCCGCCGACTCTGGCGGCAAATTGTCTTGCAAATTAGCCCCGTACCGCCACCCGGACGCCGCTTTCGCTCCCTGACCGTTGCCTTGGAGCCGCCGACCAAAAAAGTATCCCCGCCAGCCCATCCAGAAGCGATGTCCAGGCCGAGCTGAGGTGATCAGGGGAGTGCGGGAGCAAAGAGGGGGACGGCCGAACCGTGCGAAGGAGGGAGGAGGAGGAGAAGGAGGAGGCTGGATGGATGGATGAGGGAGTTGGGAGAAGGAAAATGAATAGGATGAGGAGAAGGAGGAGAAGGAGGAGGAAGGAGGAGGAAGGAGGAGCAGGAGGAGGAGGGCAAGCAAAAGGGCCAGAGGTTTCTTGGATGCCTCTCGGAGCCTCTTGGGATATCTCTTGGGCGCTTCGTGGTGGCCTCTTAGGAAGTCTTGGGGGTCTCTTGGCAGTCCTGGGGGGCTCTTGGGCGTCTTGGGTGCGTCGGGGGGGCCTCTTGGGGCCGCTTGGGGTCCTCTTGGGGGCCTCCTGGGGGCCCGTTGGGGGCTTCTTTGGGCCATCTTGGGGCCATCTTGGGGCCTCTTGGGGCCTCCTGGGCGCTTCTTGGGGCCATCTTGGATGACATCGAGCAAAGAAGGGGATGGTCGCAATTCGCGCTGCCCCCCCAAGAGGCCAAAATGGGGCCAAAACCTTAGTACAATTTAACGATTTCGGCTTCCTCGCCGAGGCCGTTTTGGACGCCCTGACCGCTCGCGAAACTCCCCCGTCCAGGTCCAGGGGAGGGGGTAGGGGGGACGGGCAAACCCCACGCCGAAGGGGAAGAAGAGGGGTGGAAGAGGAAACTCCCCAAACCACCTACGCCCAGAGGGCTGATGGGATTCAAGGTCAGATACTTGTTGTATTTATCCCTCTTGGGGTCTTCTTCGGGTCCTCTCGGTCGGGCAGTTTTGGAGGCGCCTCGTGCGATCTTGTGGCAACGTTTGAGGCCTCCCGGTTCGTCCTTGTGGCGCCCGTGGATGGCTGCCCGAGAGCTTCCTCGGCGGGGGCCCTGCGGGGGTGCCCGACACAGGCCGCCGGCAGTGGATCTTGCCTTGGAGCGACGGCGGACCGATGGGGCCGACGGGAAGCGTCCGGCAGGGCCCGGCAGCGCCCTTCGGGTCGCCCTGAGTCGCCGAGCGCTGCTCGCAGACGCCCGAAAAAGAGAGATGTCTTCCTCTACGTAGTGTATCGTAAGTCCCCCACGGCAAATCCAGGCCACTTGCGAGTAGTAGCTTTGCAGTCGTGGAACGCGCGTGTCCACTAAGGGTCGCCCCAGGGGGCACGGAGAGAATCTTCGACGATGCGAGTTTTTCAATCCTGGCGTTGTCCTTTCACCTCGGCCTCTCGAGTCAGATGTGGGGACCCGGGGCCATCAAACCTTAGCTTGGGATGGAAGATTGGCCCCGGGGAAGCGGTGGGGACCTCCGGGGTCGCAGATTGAACAAATGTTTGTCGACTCTCCACTTTCCACACCTTCTGACCAGCACTAATTTAGAGATCCTCTCGAGGGACAAAGACAAGCACAGACACAAACTTTCGAAACTCCGCGCGAATTTCTTGGATCGGCGCTTCCTCCCCGGCGTGCGGAGCGCGCCAAGGGCGGCGCCGGAGGCGCCGTCAAGGGGCTCCAGCGACCATTCAACAAAACCGCGCAGAGCTCCGAAAGTTTTTGCTCACTCGCCGTGTGCGGTGCATGGAAGGAGGGGGAAGCATCTTCCTGTCTTTTCCTTATCGTGCCACACCCTTCCCCAGGTCACTGCCGACCTGCGTCTAAACGAGCCTCGCTACGCCACGCTTCCGAACCTCATGAAGGCCCCGCGCTGTCTAGGGGGTCGTCGTCTTTTCTGCATCCGCCCTCCGGACGAGAATTGCAGCGGCACGGCTCCTCTCCGAGAACTGGCCCGCCCCTTGCTGCCGCTGCCGTCGTAGGGCCGGCCCGTCGGACTGACGGTGCGCGGCACTCCAGGCCTTGATAAAACAGGGCTAGGATCGGGATAAATCGCTCCAGAGCGTTCCGGAGCGCTCTCAGAGCGTTCCGGAACGCTCTGGAGCGGCCGCGGCGCCCAATACATCTTCCAAACCCGCCGATTCTCAGAAATTTCGAGTTATCCCGATCCGATTTTGTCCCGATCTTCGCGTCGTTTTACCCCCCCTGCCCCCCAAACTCAAAGTCGGCACGCGCGTGGGAGGCTGCGGCCGAGGCGCAACTCATCGGACCCACCGCCAACTTTGAACGTGTTGGGGAGGGGGAGGCGTTGACAGATGAATGTGGCATGAATGTTCGCTATTTTTCTCGAGTGTAACGACGCGAAGATCGGGACAAAATCGGATCGGGATAACTCGAAATCTCTGAGAATCGGCGGGTTTGGAAGATGTATTGGGCGCCGCGGCCGCTCCAGAGCGTTCCGGAACGCTCTGAGAGCGCTCCGGAACGCTCTGGAGCGATTTATCCCGATCTTAGCCCTGTTTTAGGGGGTGTTCACTAGTTGTTCCCCTCTACCGTCGCATACCACTGCAGCAGTTGGCATTCGCCACAGCCATTCTCCCAGGATGCGGCTCCTGGGACGTAACATTCAGCAGCGGCGCTGGCAACTCCTTTCTCGAAAGTAGGCCCAGTCCAGCACGATCCCGATTGATTCCTTTCCATCCTGAGAGTAGTGCCCTCCTGATCGGGCTTCCTCATGTTAGGAGTTCCCTCCTAACATGATAAAGCCCAGGATGCGCGAGAGACTGGCTTCCCCCCAGAACGACCAGAGGAAGGAGGAGCAGGGAGGAGGACGATGAGCAGAAACAGGAGGGAGAGGAGCAAGAGGGATGAGGGACGGTTTTGTTTGGGGGTTCTATCTTTCTTGGCCGCCTGGAAAGCCTTGTTTTGCCACGACCGGACTTGCTTCGAATATATTGCTAAAGCGCGCTCCAGGAATGGGAGAGCATCACATTGTGAGGTTGTGTAGGTTTTGTTGGTGTCTCGTATTCGGCCATGTCCAGTGTCAAGCGGGGGGCTAGGCTTTGAAGCAGACGTGTCATTCGACGCGCTCCTCATGCCCTGACCCTCCTTCCATTGGTGATGTTCTTCCTCCCTCGTCTCCTCTCTCCTCAATTCCCTTTCTGTATCACCATCTGTATGTGTTGATACTCATCCACTTGTTTTCTGCGCGAAGATTCAATAATGAGTGGCAATGCTCGTATATGCTGTGTTCCTTCCATGTTGGGTATATGATCGCCGATTGCGGCTGCAATCTGCCGGCCGTCTCACTAGAATTCCGCATTGGATGCCGCGTGTTTGTTTGCATGTTGCACTTTTTGTTCAGCGCGTTCGTTCACCATAATTGCATGCTGGCACGTCTCGTTCTTTTTGGCACGTCTCAGTCTGTATTAGTATGTTCATATCAGTTCAAGTGCGTCGGAAGGTTTAGGTATGCGCATATGCCTTGGTCGGTTGCGTGTGGACGTAATTTGCAGATTTCTGTGATCGAGCGATTAGTAATTGGCACCAGCGATTTCACGGTTTCACAACTCATTTCCACACACTTCACGACATCAGTGTACGTGATTTACTGTTGTGTGCTCACCAGCGTATTGAATACGTGTGTTGCTTATGTGCCTTTTTTTGGTGCCAGTGCGGGCATGGATGTTCGCACTCGGGAAGCGCATGGTTTTGTGGGCAGGTGCCCGTGCACGTCATCTAAAACCGTTGCTTGTGCGTGCTCGCCATGATTGCATTCAGAAGTGTGCCCATCGTGTACACGAACGAACTCGCATGGCAGCTTGATTGGTTGGGTGCGCATGGAAGTCGGAACAGCCCCCCAGTGTCCTTCAGAGGTTGCAGCTGATTGTTCGTGCGTGTTTGTGTGACTAGGCATGGGACGAGCAGGCTGGTCCGATAAGCTGCGCAGAGCGCTTCAAGAGTGAATGCGTCCCCATCTCCAGAGGAATGTCGTGCAGTCCTTATGTTGTTTCCTGTTGCCAGGCCAAAAAGAAGCCGATGGAGACCATCGACGCAGCTTCCACAGGCGTCGTATATGCCTTGCTAGCATCGTAGTTGCAACTTGTGGACCTTTCTTCCTGAGTTGTTCGCATCCCCAGTGTGTTCATGTGTGACCGTTTTTTAGTGCCCCTCCGTCGCCTACGCCACCTCTGCCTCCACTTCCTCATCATCCTTGCCTTCCTCCTCGTGTCTCCCTCCTTTTTCTCTCCCTCCGCGTACACCCGCCAGACCATGCCGAAACGACCGCGGATGCACGGAGCCATA